AGAAAGAAAGAGAATCCCAAATAGGCTGTGTGCTGTGAGCGCTGAGCCTGACTTGGGGCTTGAACCCACAAACTGTGAGTTTATGACCCGAGCCAAAATCAAGAGTCAGACACTTAACTGAGTGAACCACCCAGGCACCCCTCCTCTCCTGTTTTTGTTTGTTTGTTTGTTTGCTTTTTGTTTTTTGTTTTTTTAATTTATGTTCTAGATATGTTTCTTGGTTAAAGGTCTTAGAAGCAAGCACCCATTCCTGTTCTCCCTTATTTCCTATTCACATGGTATAGTATTTCTACCTTGAAGTGGATGTGGCTGGCAAAGAGTTATCAGTGACCCTTCTTGGAACAAGAGATGCCTATAGTGGTTCTCTGTCAAAGTTCTTTTTCTAGGAATGTGTACGTGACATGTAGCTCAGGCATCACTTTCTGTTCGGGACTCAGACCACTTGCAATAGTTTGCATCCCATTACCACCTCCCATTCTATTTCTGCTCCTCAGTGGTCCTTTTTCCCAAGTTTGTGTCAGAAATGCGTACTTTGGGGCACCTGAGTGCCTCAGTTGGTTAAGCGTCAGTCGTCGGCTCAGGTCATGATCTCACAGTTTGTGAGTTTGAGCCCCGCATCGGGTTCTTTGCTCTCAGTGCAGAGCCTACTTCAAATCCTGTGTCCCCTTCTCTCTCTTCCCCTCCCCTGCTTGCTCTCTCTCTCTCTCTCTTTCTCTCTCTCTCAAAAATAAATAAACTTTAAAACAACAAAAAAAATAAAATAAAAAAGAAATCTGTACTTCATTTGGCTTACCTGATGGTTTTGGGAGAAAAGGTGAGTAACAGCAGAAGTGCAAACCTTAGTGTGAGGTTGCATTAAGAAGTACAGTTTTATTACCACTGCTTTTTATCGCTGTGATCCTGCTGATTGCTCCCTAAAGCAAGATGCAATGCTACTTCATCTTTCCTGAGGCCCCAAGAGGAGACTCTCACAACAGGATTTTCAGAAATGTGTTATGTGCATAGCCATGTTTCTAAAAAAGTATTTTGCATAGCTGGGCACTGTCTACTCCCGATGCATATATTCTGTTCCTTCCAGGGTCCGGCTTTCTGTGCCTTCCAAGTGGCCAATAGCTTAAAAATAGTACATTTATTTGCAGAAACATGAGAATCACTCTTTCCACCTAAGCACCTCTGCCCATTAAACTATCTTTTAGAAGGGTAGCAAGTACTTTGTTGTCTAGCCTGAAGCAGTGATGCAGTCACAGGGATATTCGGGCATGATGAGTCTAAATCACTGGTTGATTTTTAACAGGTATTTCTGTTAGGAATTGTGTTAAACTGCAAGTAACAGAAACCCAACCACAGGGGCTTAACCAAATAGGAATTTTTTTTGCATAGGTAGCAAGAAGTCTGAAGGCAGGTAGTTCAGGACTAAAGGACTCATCATGGTTACTCCTAGCTTCTTCCTCTGCCATCCTTAGTGTATGGTTCTCATCCAAGACGAGGGGAGAGGGAAGAGCAAAATAGGATTGCTGGGTCTGTCCTTTAGAGCTGGGAAGAGCAGAGAAAGAAAGAGAGAGTCCTAAGTAGGTTCTGCTCTGTCAGCGCAGATCCCAGTGCAGGGCTCGATCCCACAAACCATGGGATCATGAACTGAGCAGAAATCAAGAGTGGGATGCTTACCCGACTGAGCCACCCAGGTGCCCCAAGTCCGTCCTCTTTTTAATCAGGAAAATGATAGCTTTCTCAGAAGTCCCATCCAGTAGACTTCCACTTCACCCTACTGGCCATAACTAGATCCCATGCTACCTTTAGCTGCAAGAGATTCTGGAGAGATGAGTATTTTTAACTGGAAACATTGTTGCCTTGGATAAAATTGGGGTTTAGTTGGCAAGGAAGAAGCTCAGTGGATAGGCAGTGATTGAGATCTGCCCCGAGGAGCCACATGACATCTTTCACAACCAGGTTTAGGTGACTGCCTTTTATTAAAATTTTTTTTCAACGTTTTTATTTATTTTTGGGACAGAGAGAGACAGAGCATGAACGGGGGAGGGGCAGAGAGAGAGGGAGACACAGAATCAGAAACAGGCTCCAGGCTCCGAGCCATCAGCCCAGAGCCCGACGCTGGGCTCGAACTCACAGACCGCGAGATCGTGACCTGGCTGAAGTCGGACGCTTAACCGACTGCGCCACCCAGGCGCCCCGGTGACTGCC